TGGTATGTGATCTGGATAAATATTATACCAATACAAGGCTCAAACTAAAAATCTTTACTACTAAGAAAGCTCATAGTCAATGAAGGCTGCACAATCCACCTCTCCAAGCTGCACAATATTTATGACAACAAAGACACCTCTATAGCAGCAAGCTCATGACAACCAGCAAACTCCTCAACCTTAAAGATACTATGACAGCAAGCTCCTCAACATTTAATCATGACGGCCATACTATTTTGGCACCAAGGAACCTTTGTCTTCCCTATGAAGAAAGGCATCTTCCAAGCACACATCACTCCACTATAAATACATGTATCAACACTAAGGTACATCATATTCTTCTACATAATTAAACCTGCTTGAACCAAATCTGGCTTGAGCGTCGGAGTGTCTTGCAGGTACACCCCTGTCGCGTTCCATTGAAAACCCATGGGATAAAGCGACCCAACTGCAAGATGCTCTGACCCAAGACGATTCCAGACTGTGTAGAGGAAGATCACATGATCGACCCAGTTGTAAAGATCTGTTCCGATCATTGGCGTCGTCCGTGGTAAGAGGTAAACTTCAACTCCTACTCCAAAAAAGGTACATGGTATCTGCCTTGAGCTTTTTATTTATCAGTAGTTATCGAATTTCATTCATCTCGAAAAGATGTTAGTCTTCACCGGAATGATAATACTCATCCAGAGTATCATAGCGCGATGATACTACGTGGCCTATAAATCCAAAGCACCCTTGTGCGGTACATATCCCATTGTTTGGGTAAAGTCTATACAATAAAAGTCCTTTGGATAAAGATTGTAACCAGCCAAGGTTAAATCTCACTATGCTGTATAAAGCTTTCTAAAATTCTATACGAATTTAGCACGATCACTTTTTAAAAAAAAGTAGGAAACTTGTTTTTGAAAAAGTAAAGCGGATGGCTATCAATATTATTTTATTATATTCAAATAGACTACCAAGAAGTTCATTTTCCAATCTCCAAGATAGTTCTTCACAGAAACCACTTTGCGCAAAATATATTGTGCAATATTTTAAACCAACTCATTGATTATATGTATTGCGCAACTCAATATATATATTGATAAGGTTCAATTATATTAAATCAACATCTTTTGGCTCTAGTTTCACGTTTTAAAGTTAACATGTCAATAGCCATGTCAGCCCCTCATGTGCATATTATAGCGTAATACATCGCGGACAATCCTCTGATATTTTAATGAAGGTGGAGGAAATTTTTTGACAGTTACTCAGTACATTGCGCAATTACATTGCGGACACATCTCATTGATAGTTACTTGATTTACGTTAGTCGCATAGCTGTGGTATTATGACAGCTACAAGGACACATGCCCACTTACAACCATCTACTTCACCGACTTAAAATCTAAAAGATATGTTTCTCACCGACTTCACGTACCCACGGGCCTATATATTGTTTTAATGCCAGTTCACAATTGGTAGCCTTTAAAATCATTTAACTAGTTAAGGTTAAGTGATTATACGTGGAGCGGACAGTGATATTAGCCTTCTTCTCGGTCAACCGAAGTTTCTCTATGAAGATGGCTCTTAAATTCCATGAACTCAAGAGCGAAGCTGCAAGCAAAATGTTTTTAGCAGCAACATGGCGGGGGTGCGATGCTTTAACAGGAGCGCGATGTACAACAAGCTCCTCACCTCTTAATGCCATTCACAGGACGCGATGCTACGGGCGTTCTTGGACAAAGATTATTTATCTTATTCTACATGGCCAAGCCTTTAACACCATATATTATAGAATATTATTAGAATATACCATTTTATTTCCAATGTATAGAATAATTAGTTATTGGCTCATGTGCCACGTACACCTCAATTTGTTATCTTTTCTGTTAGCATACACTTTACTGTTATAAAGAGCAATGCTCTCTGTACTCACTCAATGAGATCCAAATTGGTTACTGATTTTTCCAATATTTTCTCCTAATATGGTATCATATGAGTTTTTTTAGCCTCCGAGCCTTTCTCCATGGCTCGTGGTGGCAAAACTACCAACCCCGCTTCTTCCCATTCTTCCACATCTACCACTAGTTCCTCGTCTCCTCCTATGGAGGACTTTGCCAGTCCTTATTATCTTCAGAATGGTGATCATCTTGGTCTCATTCTGGTTACTCACTCCCTCAATGGACTGAATTTCAACCCCTGGAGTCGAGCAATGCTCATTGCTCTCACCGCCAAAAACAAAGTATGTTTCGTCGATGGTTCTCTTCTTCGACCTGAAACTACTGATCTTCTTTTTGCTGCTTGGACCCGATGCAACTCCATGGTAAATATCAATCTTATTCTACAGTGCACGATCCTATTCTACAGTGCGCGATGCTAAATATATAGGCTAGTTTATAAGCTGAGAAAATTGTGAATACATTATAAACAAGTTGTGGAAACTATTATTATAAGCAACGATACCATGCGCGACGCTACCAATATTACAACAGATGAATTAATAACATCTTTGTTGGGTTTAAACTTTATTTAATTAAAGTAAATAAAAAATGAAGAGTTTTGTGTTAAAAGGGTGTGTCCCTTAAGAATTTGTTAGTGGACATTAATGAGTTTAAAGTTTCTAAGAAATAGTCATTATTATGTTTAGATTTCCTAAGTTGGTCATTAGTATTCTTAGTTATTTGCTATTGTTTATAAATAGCTCATTGTAACTCTTGTAAAGTGGCTTGGTAGAATCAGTAATTCTAAGAGGTATATTCAGAGACTTGTTTGTGTGTTTGAGTGTTTGAGAGAAACACCATAATAGGACCTGTGAATTACAAATTGGTATCAGAGCTATGGAGAGTGTGACCACTTCCAGTATTATGCCATTGCCCCGCCTGACAAAGGCGAAATATGTGAATTGGAGCATTCAGATGAAGGCGTTGCTCGGATCTCAAGAACTTGGGATGTTATTCATGACGGGTTTGCTGAACCTGTAACTACCGCAGGATACTCAGCAGCTCAAACCAAGGCGTTGAAAGAGACGCGTGCGAAGGACAAGGCGGCCTTATACATGTTATTTCGAGCTGTAGATGAGTCCGTATTTGAGAAGATTGCAAGTGCGACGACGTCAAAGGAAGTGTGGGACATCTTGGAGAATATCTATAAAGGAGCTGACCGAGTTAAGCAAGTCCGACTTCAGAATCTGCGTGGTGAGTTGGAAGAAATGAAGATGAAAGATTCAGAGGGTGTATCCGAGTTCATCACCCGAGTTCAAGCCGTGGTGAATCAGTTAAAGCAGAATGGTGAGGAATTACCTGAGACTAGAGTTGTTGAAAAGATTCTGAGGTCGCTGACAGACGACTTCGAAAACGTGGTATGTGCAATTGAGGATGTCAAACTTTGCTGCAGAAAGAGAAATAAGAGATGAAGGAGTTCTGATGTTGGCACAAGGTGAGACAAGTTCGAAGAGTGAGACGGAGTGGTATTTGGATACCGGTGCCAGTAATCACATGTGTGGTTACAAACATTTGTTCAAAGAATTGAGGACGGTGGAAGCCGGACATGTCTCTTTCGGAGACGCGTCCAAAATTGATGTAAAAGGTCGTGGTACGGTCTGTTTTCTACAAAAAGATGGACGAGTTGGTACAATTCAGGACGTGTATTACGTGCCTGAGCTCAAAAGCAATATTCTGAGCATTGGACAGTTGATGGAAAAGGGCTACTCGGTTCTAATGACAGATCGAGTTCTACTGTTGAAAGATAAGTAAGGGCGGTTGATGGCCCGAGTTCAGATGGAGAAGAATATGATGGATTTGTGGCATAGACGTTTTGGACACCTTCATTATGGTGGTCTGACCGAGATGATGAAGAAGAACATGGTGGTAGGACTGCCAAAGATAAACTCTGAAGGAAAGTTTTGTGAGGACTGCGTATTGGGAAAACATGCGAGGAGCCCGTTCCAAAGGATGGCGAGATACCGAGCTAGGCAGCCTCTGGATTTGATACATACCGACCTGTGTGGACCCATTACTCTGGGGTCCTTCAGTGGTAAGAAGTATTTTGTAACTTTTATTGATGATTTCAGTCGAAAGACTTGGGTGTATTTTTTAAAAGAAAAATCCGAGGTGCTAGAGGCATTTAGGAGTTTTAAAGTAATGATAGAGAATGGTACTGGAAGGTACATCAAATCGGTACGTTCAGACCGAGGAGGGGAGTATGTGTCAACAGCTTTCAAGATGTATTGTGAAGAACATGGTATAAGGCGGTTCCTGACCGCACCGTACTCGCCCCAGCAAAATGGAGTAGCTAAGAGGAAGAACCGGACTATCCTGGATATGGTCCGATCTATGTTGAAGACGAAGAACATGCCGAAAGAATTTTGGGGAGAGGGCGTACAATGTGCAGTATATGTGCAGAACCGATGTTCGCACTCAAGTGTGAATGATAAAACTCCACAAGAAGCATGGAGTGGTCTAAAGCCATCAGTGGCTCATTTCAAGATTTTTGGTAGTGTTGCATATGCACACATACCGGATCAGTTGAGAACAAAACTTGAAGATAAGAGTAAGAAGTTTGTATTCATTGGTTATGATGAGAAGACAAAGGGGTACAAGTTGTTGGATCCTGTCAATAAAAAGGTGTTGATAAGCCGAGATGTGAAGGTGAATGAAGAAGATGCTTGGGACTGGGGTTGTCCATCCGGGGTGAATGTTGAACCCGGGAAAATGACAATTGAGGTCGAACAACCTTCGTCCTATATCCTAGCAAATCATGAAACCTCTGATGACGAAGAGCAGAGACAACTGAGAATGAGGAGCTTGCAAGAATTGTATGACTCAACTAACGAAGCACACTTGGTATGTTTGTTGGCAGATTCTGAAGAAGTGAGTTTTTAAGATGCAATCCGAGATGAGAAATGGCAATCAGCCATGGAGGAGGAGATTAAAGCAATAGAAAAGAACAAAATGTGGGAGTTAGCCGAGCTGCCCAAAGGAAGTCGGCCCATTGGTGTGAAATGGGTGTACAAGAAGAAAATGAACGCTAAGGGGGAGATCGAAAGATACAAAGCACGGCTAGTGGCGAAAGGGTATAAGCAGAAGGCCAGCATTGACTATGACGAGGTGTTCGCACCTGTAGCAAGAATGGAGACAATCATGCTGTTGATCCCTCATGCAGCCCAATTCGGATGGCCGATCTATCAGATGGATGTGAAGTCGGCATTCTTAAATGGAGTACTCGAGGAGGAGGTGTATCTGGAACAACCTCTGGGATTCATGAAAGCCGGACAAGAAAGAAAAGTGTTGAGACTGAAGAAAGCTTTGTATGGATTGAAGCAGGCCCCAAGAGCCTGGAACACAAGAATTGACAATTACTTCAAAAAGGATGGACTTGAACAATGTCCGTATGAACATGCACTATATGCGAAGAAGAGAGGAGGTAAAATTCTACTTGTTGCTCTATATGTTGATAATCTGATTTTCTTGGGTAATGATGAAGGAAAGATTCAAGATTTTAAGAAGAAAATGACGAAGGAGTTCGAGATGACAGATCTCGGTCTAATCAGATACTTTCTTGGTTTGGAGGTTAGACAAGATGAATCCGGGATCTTCGTCTCTCAGGAAGCCTATGCAAGAGGAATTTTAGAGAAGTTCAAAATGAGTGATTGCAACCCGGTTTCAACCCCTATGGAACCCGGCGTTAAAATTTCAAGATATGATGAAGGAGAAAAGGTAGATCCGAGTATTTATCGTAGTCTAGTTGGAAGTCTGAGGTACTTGACGTGTACGAGGCCGAAACTGTGTCTGAGTCTTGGAATAATAAGCCGATTTATGGAAGAGCCGAGCTATACTTACTGGAAGGCGGCTAAGAGAATTCTGAGATATGTGAAGGGAACAATCTCACAAGGACTTCATTACTCGAAGTCGGACAAATACAAACTGACGGGTTATTCAGACAGTGACTGGTGCAGAGATGTTGATGATAGGAAGAGCACGGCTGGCTATGTGTTCTTCATGGGAAACACGGCGTTTACTTGGGTGTCGAAGAAGGAACCCATTGTGACCCTGTCTACATGTGAAGCCGAGTATGTTGAGGCATCTTGGTGTGTTTGCCATGCAATATGGCTGAGGAATTTACTAAGCAAGCTGGAGCAAGAGCAAGTCGGCCCAACCGAGATTCGAGTTGACAACAGATCAGCAATCGAGTTAGCAAAGAACCCGGTCAACCATGAGAGAAGTAAGCATATTGATGTCAGGTTTCATTTCATCCGAGATCAAGTCAGAGAAGGAAAGGTGGAGCTCACTCATGTTGCAAGCCGAGATCAAGTTGGAGATATTTTCACAAAACCCCTGCCGACATTGTTGTTTGAGAATTGCAAGAAGAAGATGGGAATGAAGGACGGTAGAGACATTAAAGTTTAAGGGGGAGTTTTGTTGGGTTTAAACTTTATTTAATTAAAGAAAATAGAAAATGAAGAGTTTTGTGGTAAAAAGGTGTGTCGCTTAGGAATTTGTTAGTGGACATTAATGAGTTTAAAGTTTCTAAGAAGTAGTCATTATTATGTTTAGATTTCCTAAGTTGGTCATTAGTATTCTTAGTTATTTGCTATTGTTTATAAATAGCTCATTGTAACTCTTGTAAAGTGGCTTGGTAGAATCAGTAATTCTAAGAGGTATATTCAGAGACTTGTTTGTGTGTTTGAGTGTTTGAGAGAAACACCATAATAGGACCTGTGAATTACAATCTTGAGGGTTTTTTTTAGCAGTTGGAATAAATAAGCATTTGGAAAGTGTAAGGTTCGGCTGTTTAATCTGATCTATTGATTGGGAATACATAAGCATATGACATCGAGTTTTTAAAGTCTTCATTGAGAGAGATCAAGAATAGATGATATGTAAATACTGTGACACTCCATTGTGTTCGCCGCAATCGATGGCGCTAGAAGGAGGTATATTTTTAATATATCAATATCATTAAGATTATATATATCGACAGTATAGCATACTTTGGTTTACTTACAATACCTTGGGTCCTAGCCACTTCTTATCTTAAAGGGTATTGACTTATCAACTTGTGGGGAAAGTGATACATTTTGCTACCAAAAGTTACAAACTAAGACATAGGTTATGATGCATGAGTCTAGCCTAGGCAAACTGTCACGTACGCCCTTGTTCATATCGTGTGAAGAATAAAATTTGACAAACGTTTGTGCAAGATACGCAGTTACATCACATATATACATTAGCAATATTGCGCTATTTTTTAAAAGGGTATTGAGAACGACATGGCCATCGAGGGGTACATAATATTGTATCGCGCTATGGATTTATTTTTACCAGATCCAGTTATATATAAATCCTTCCCCTGTTGAAGTATCGCGCCAACACCCATGATGTTTACTGGGCCATAATTGTCGCTCTGTAATCCATGTTTTGAGGAGCATGGCTTTAATAGCGGCGCCAACCAAATATTGTATTGATTTTGTTTGGCGCGATGTGAGAAGACCTATGTCACGATAGCGATAGTCAGCACAGTGGGAGAAACATGTAGCGTTTATTATTGTAACTGTTTGGTACGTTTCTTCGAGCGGCACTTATACTATAGCATTGTGTTGGATAAGCCAGACCGCATAAGTTATCGTAAGTCTTGAAGTATCCCAAACTTTACGTACGTGTCCCAAAGTTTTACGCGTGCGCGATGGAACGAATTTGGCTGTTCTTGGTCGTTCACTTACACTATAGCGCGAATTATCATATTATTCCGCATCTTTTCACCAAAAGTATAGCATGCTTATATTTAAACCCTCAAAATACCGTGAGTATTTGGGTACTACACTCTATGTAGCTCTGAAAAAGAGTGTGCAAGCATCTCTCAAGTGTGTAATTCACAGGTCCTATTATGGTGTTTCTCTCAAACATTCAAACACACAAAACAAGTCTCTGAATATACCTCTTTGAATTACTGATTTTACCAAGCCACTTTACAAGAGTTACAATGAGCTATTTATAAACAATAGCAAATAACTAAGAATACTAATGACCAACTTAGGAAATCTAAACATAATAATGACTACTTCTTAGAAACTTTAAACTCATTAATGTCCACTAACAAATTCCTAAGGGACACACCCTTTTACCACAAAACTCTTCATTTTCTATTTTCTTTAATTAAATAAAGTTTAAACCCAACAAAACTCACCCTTAAACTTTAATGTCTCTACCGTCCTTCATTCCCATCTTCTTCTTGCAATTCTCAAACAACAATGTCGGCAGGGGTTTTGTGAAAATATCTCCAACTTGATCTCGGCCTGCAACATGAGTGAGCTCCACCTTTCCTTCTCTGACTTGATCTCAGATGAAATGAAACCTGACATCAATATGCTTCCTTCTCTCATGGTTGACCGGGTTCTTTGCTAACTCGATCGTTGATCTGTTGTCAACTCGAATCTCGGTTGGGCCGACTTGCTCTTGCTCCAGCTTGCTTAGTAAATTCCTCAGCCATATTGCATGGCAAACACACCAAGATGGCGCAACATACTAGGCTTCACATGTAGACAGGGTCACAATGGGTTCCTTCTTCGACACCCAAGTAAACGTCGTGTTTCCCATGAAGAACACATAGCTAGTCGTGCTCTTCCTATCATCAACATCTTCGCACCAATCACTGTCTGAATAACCCGTCAGTTTGTATTTGTCCGACTTCGAGTAATGAAGTCCTTGTGAGATTGTTCCCTTCACATATCTCAGAATTCTCTTAGCCGCCTTCCAGTGAGTATAGCTCGGCTCTTCCATAAATCGGCTTATTATTCCAACACTCAGACACAGTTCCGGCCTCGTACACGTCAAGTACCTCAGACTTCCAACTAGACTACGATAAACACTCGGATCTACCTTTTCTCCTCCATCATATCTTGAAAATTTAACGCCAGGTTCCATAGGGGTTGAAACCGGGTTGCAATCACTCATTTTGAACTTCTCTAAAATTCCTTTTGCATAGGCTTCCTGAGAGACGAAGATCCCGGATTTGTCTTGTCTGACCTCCAGACCAAGAAAGTATCTCATCAGACCGAGATCCGTCATCTCGAACTTCTTCGTCATTTTCTTCTTAAAATCTTGAATCATCCCTTCATCATTACCCAAGAAAATCAGATCATCAACATATAGGGCAACAAGTAGAATTTTACCTCCTTTCTTCTTCACATATAGTGCATGTTCATACGGACATTGTTCAAGTCCATCCTTCTTGAAGTAATTGTCAATTCTTGGGTTCCAGGCTCTTGGGGCCTGCTTCAATCCATACAAAGCTTTCTTCAGTCTCAACACTTTTCTTTCTTGTCCGGCTTTCATAAATCTCAGAGGTTGTTCCAGATACACCTCATCTTCGAGTACTCCATTTAAGAATGTCGACTTCACATCCATCTGATAGATCGTCCATCCGAATTGAGCTGCTTGAAAGATCAACAGCCTGATTGTCTCCATTCTTGCTTCGGGTGCGAACAGCTCGTCATAGTCAATGCCGGCCTTTTGCCTATTCCCTTTCGCCACTAGCCGGGCTTTGTATCTTTCGATCTCCCCCTCAGCGTTCATTTTCTTCTTGTACACCCATTTCACACCAATGGGCCGACTTCCTTTGGGCAGCTCGGCTAACTCCCACGTCTTGTTCTTTTCTATTGCATTAATCTCCTCCTCCATGGCTGATTGCCATTTCTCATCTCGGATTGCTTCTTCAAAACTCACTTCTTCAGAATCTGTCAACAAACATACCAAGTGTGCTTCGTTAGTTGAGTCATACAAGTCTTGCAAGCTCCTTATTCTCGGTTGTCTCTGCTCTTCATCATCAGAGATTTTAATGATTTGCTGGGATATGGGACGAAGGTTGTCCGACCTCAATTGTCCTTTTCCCGGGTTCAACATTCACCCCGGATGGACAACCCCAGTCCCAAGCATCTTCTTCATTCACCTTCACATCTCGGCTTATCAACACCTTTTTATTGACGGGATCCAACAACTTGTACCCCTTTGTCTTCTCATCATAACCAATGAATACAAACTTCTTACTCTTATCTTCAAGTTTCGTTCTCAACTATGTGTGCATATGCAACACTACCAAAAATCTTGAAATGAGCCACTGATGGCTTTAGACCGCTCCATGCTTCTTGTGGAGTTTTATAATTCACACTTGAGTGCGGACATCGGTTCTGCACGTACACTGCACATTGTACGGCCTCTCCCCAAAACTCTTTCGGCATGTTCTTCGTTTTCAACATAGATCAGACCATATCCAGGATAGTCCGGTTCTTCCTTTCAGCTACTCCATTTTGCTGGGGCAAGTACGGTGCGGTCAGGAACCGCCTTATACCATGTTCTTCACAATGCTTCTTGAAAGCTGTTGACACGTACTCCCCACCTCGGTCTGAACGGACCGGTTTGATGTACCGCCCACTCGCCCAGTACCATTCTCTATCATTACTTTAAAAATCCTAAATGCCTCTAGCACTTCGGATTTTTCCTTCAAAAAATACTCCCAAGTCTTTCGACTGAAATCATCAATAAAAGTTACAAAATACTTCTTACCACTGAAGGACCCCAGAGTTATGGGTCCACACAGGTCGGTATGTATCAAATCCAGAGGCTGCCTAGCTCGGTATCTCGCCATCCTTTGGAACGGGCTCCTCTCATGTTTTCCCAATACGCAGTCCTCACAAAATTTTCCTTCAGAGTTAATCTTTGGTAGTCCCACTACCATGTTTTTCTTCATCATCTTGGTCTGACCACCGTAGTGAAGGTGTCCAAACCGTCGATGCCACAAATCCATCTTATCTTCTACCCCGGCTTGCAGACAGCCGACCTCCATGCTCCTCAAACTCAGTTTGTACATTCTATTTTTCTCCATCTGAACTCGGGCTATCAGACGCCCTTGTTTGTCTTTCAATAGTAGAACTTGGTCTGTCATTAGAACCGAGTAGCCCTTTTCAATCAACTGTCCAATGCTCAGAATATTGCTTTTGAGCTCAGGCACGTAATACACGTCCCGAATTGTACCAACTCGTCCATCCTTTTGCAAGAAACAGATCATACCTCGGCCTTTTACATCAATTTTGTACGCGTCTCCAAAAGAAACATGTCCGGCTTCCACCGTTTTCAACTCCTTGAACAGATGTTTGTAACCACACATGTGATTACTGGCACCAGTATCCAAGTACCATTCTGTCTCACTCTTCGAACTCGTTTCACCATGTGCCAACATCAAAACTCCTTCATCTCTTATCTCTCCTTCTGCAGCATAGTTTGACGTCCCGTCAACTCTCCTTTCATCTCGGCAATCCTTCGCGAAATGCCCAACTCGGCCACAATTGTAGCACTTGTCTGAGTTGCAATCTCTTGCGTAATGACCATACTTCCCACACTTATGACATTCTACATTATTTTGATTCGACCACCGGCCTCTTCCACCTCGGCCACGTCCTCTACCTCTCCAGTTTTGCGGACTCGGCTCAGTTCTTTCTTCATTTCTCACCTCATGACCTCGGCCACGACCACCTCGTCCATTTCCACGTCCAGCTCGGGCCACGATCTCTACCTCAGACGTTCTGAGAATACAGCGCCTTCTCTTCCTTGATATTTGCTTTTGACTGGAGTGCTTGCTCCAGTGTCTCTTCCTTCTTCTTTTTCTTGCGTTGTTCATGCGTCTCAAGAGAACCCGCTAGCTCTTCAATGGAGAGCTT